ATTTCAAATAGTAACCAAAATAGAATCATTAAGGCACCTTAAATGGTAAGACAAGTGTTTTAAAATAACTGAATAATATAATTAGAGGAAACTGTATTTGAGAATTGGGAACTTAATATAATACAAATTTTCATGCAGACTATGTCAGGAGGACATCCCAAAGTGCTTAACAATCCTGGTTTAGCAACCGAGCTCAGGTGGGAGCTGAGGGGATTTGGGAGGGGAAAGATGGCTGAAAGCACAATCAAAGAAGTAGGTCTTGAAACAGACTTTAATGACTTTAATAATTGCCTTCAAGGCCCTCCGTGACCTTGCTCCTTCCTACCTCTGTAACCTGTCCACTCCTTACACTTAGCAGGCCTGCTCCAAATCCCCCTCCCGGCTCACCCCACGATCAGCAGTCAGGCTTTCAGCCTCTCTGCCCCCAACTTTTGGAACTCCATCCCACAATCCCTTTGTCCTGCTCCCTCCATTGACTCCTTCAAGGCATGTCTCAAGGCCCTCTTCTTCGACCGTGCTTTCGGCCACTCTTCTACCCCCACTCTCCTTGCCCTCCACCCCACTGATCCCAACCCCTGCTCTGGTCTAAATCCCTGACTGTCCAGCACCTTGGGATGTCCACCCAACGTGAAAGGCACTATACAAATGTAATTTGTTGCTGTTTAGTGTTCTGTGCATCTTTCATTCTTGGAACAAATGATGTTTTCACGCCAAAGTCCCAGAAGAGTTATAAACGGAAATATAAATGTAGGAGATGGTAACTCTGAGTAAGATAACTGAAATTGGCATAAGCTTGGGTAATGTGGTACCAGAAATTCATATGTAACAGCAATTTTGTCTATTAGTTGTGCCAGGAAAATTCTAATCGGTCTAACTGGATTACACTGGGAAACAGAAATGTGCACTTCATAAAACATCTTTACATCTTTCATCACACCTGGACACCAGCAGTTGAGAAGCCAAAACACTTAACAAGATCTCTAGGTTTGGAAAGTCAGATTCAAATTGAGAGTTACTCAAGTTGTTCCAGATCAATTGTAGAAGATAAAATTGAACACCGATACCATATTTAACACAAATCCTAGAAGAATTCAATCTAATAAGCAAGACTAGAATTTGCTCAAATGGATATAATGCATAGAACTGAACAGCCCATAGGCCAGTGTACTGACATGGTCACTGTAGCCAAGAGATACTTAGGGTAGTAAGTATCTGGCAACTCGAGCAAACTGCTCTCTAGAGAAGTACATTCTTCCATCTGTGCAGCAGATATAAGATCACTTTAAGCCAACGCAAATGCAAATAAATTACAAACATTTCTAAAACTTTCTCTTGAACCGTTGAACCGAAGCTGATCCAGGGAAGATCACAGCTGTTATAGAATTGAACAGGCCAAATAGCATCTCTAGAAATAGAAATTTCCTCATTTGTACGGTCAGATGGGAAAGTCAGTATCAGATCTAGCGGAGGAGAATAAATCATAAGAGAAATCAGTTATTTAAGAACATATGATAGTGGAGAAGAAGCCAAGTCAAAGCCTTTCCAGCTTGAAGAAAGACGTTACATCCATGGCACTATTGATCTTGTCTGATCCTAAAGGTCAGTTAAAAGTTTCACCAGGTATGGTAACTCACTGAACTAATTAACTAAGTAAGTCCTCACTGTAGCACTTGGTGAGAGTCGGAATGCCATTATACAAAGAAACATCACAGTGAATCTCAATACCCATGCTCATGTTCAAACAGGGCTTAATAAATCCAGGTGTCTCACAAATGTGGAAGCCCATTGGCATGCTCAAGAGTATCTAAAGCAGACTGAGTGCATGCCACCTATGCATGCAAATTTCCTATTTGTCTGGAATGGAGTGCGCACTCACTCCCCAGAGGGATGCACACCTCTTGCTTAATATTGATATAATTTTACATCATTGCCCAGTTGTATCCCATGTGATTTAATGGTTACTGATTCATCAGGGTAAAATGTTGAGCAAGTTTCCTCATTCCACATGCCTCTGTTTACCTAGCAGTAAGTAGGAACCCGGTTGTTAGTCGATTGACGGGTCATTTTTCTGGGTTAATAATCCCTTAAAAATAAATAATAATTTGCTCACCCAATTCACGACTGTTTGTGGGTTGCTGATGAGTGCAATTGGCTCCTGCGTTTCACCCACAAAACATACAATCAATTCACTTGACAGGTTATTCTGTCAAATGCCTTGAGACATCTCGAAGACATGATAAAGCGATATGTCAAATGCAAGGATTATTATTATCAAATTGTTAAGTAATTGTTTGCCATAATATTTTATTCCTTAGCAGAGGCTGACAGCAAAACATTAGCAGGAATATTCTGTTGCACAATTCTTCCTCTCCTTTTGGTTACATTTCAAGGTTGTCTGAAGAGTTGTCATATAAATGTTAATTTGAACTCACTAGTTTGGCAGATTGCTGGAAAGAAGAGTATAAGCACAGGGCAATTATATGCCATTCCAGCTGTAAGCTTGATAAAATGTGTAATTTTCGACTTCAAGATCCTCACCCTCGTATTCAAGTCCTTGCACTCCTCTGTACCCCCCTCTCTGACCTCCTCTCTCCTCAGCACAGTACCCGTTGCCTTCATTCCTCCGGATCTGGCCTCCTCCTTGTCCCCCGAGTCCTCCGCTCCACCCTCGGCGGCCGTGCCTTCAACCACTATGCCCCGAGGCTATGGAACTGTCTTCCTCACTCCCTTCGTCTCGTTCCCTCCCTTCCCATTTTCAGGTCTCTGCTGAAGAGCTTTCTTTTCGACCGCGGCTTTGTTCACCTTCCCACCCCTCCCCCTGGTTCAGTCCCAGGATCCGTTACTGTAAAGTGCTCTGAGATGCCGTCCGGCATGGAGGGTGCTTTATAAATCCAAGTTGTTGTTTAATCTGAATAGAAAGTTTTTCACTTAACAAAAGTAAACAGAAAGTGTGATCAGTTAACAGGAATGAATGGTGTGACTGTAAATTAGAAACTGGATTTTTGATCTCTATTCACTTATCAGACTGCACTAATTTCATTGGGTTTTATGTTTTAAGGATCTATAATTGTAAATAATTTTTAATTTGAATTGATGTCAAAAGCCCCCTTTGCACCAATGTAAAGAAAGAATCTATGAGGGATTTTTTCTTCTTTAACATGGCATTCTGTGTCCATGATCCAGTTATAAATTCCAAGTTAGAGTTTACTAAATTGTCTTCTTATTGAATTTCACCATGAGAATCAAATCACTTCAAACTACAATACAGTGTAGGACATATTAACTATGTAAAAGGAATAGTTTGCATAACAAACTTAAATATGATGTTGACCCTTTCAATGCTTCTGTTTTTCAAGGATCTCTTGGAAACTTTAGTGCATTGCAACTATTGGCACTTAATGCAACTGATGTTTGAGATGCATGCAAAGATTTGTAGTGGGATTGTGGCTTTGCTGTTCAGTGGTAGCACACTCTGGTTTGGGTTGATGCATCCCTGTGTTTGATTCTTTCTCAGCAATATGGAAGGCTTCAAGCAATGACTAAGTATTTCCCTATTAGATTGGACTTGTACAACATAATTTCTTGTTGCATTAGGAAAGCCACTGTGGTTGAGATGTTCACTGCATCTGAAGTCCACAGACAGCAGTGCTCCAGTTTCCTCTCAAGCTCAGAACACCACTGATCATAAACTCCAGGTACCTATGTGGCGGACTTTGCACAGTATCATATGCCCAGTTTCAGAGGGAAACCAGTGTGGTATGCAACTTCCTTCACATCTACACTTTTCTGCACAAGTCCAGGATGGGAGAAAGTTGAGAGAAGTCAAACTTGTGCCATCAGTGGATAGGGTGGGGTTAATGGATGTCGTCATTTCAAAATATCTTAACGTGCATTGAATTTTTCAAACAAACCGTTGGCTTCAATTGTTATACTGCAGCAAAGACTAACCAGAGCTGAGCACTTCTTCAATGATTCTCAGCAGAGTGCAATTCAACTATCATACATTAGGACTTTTGTTCCAAGTTCAATTTGTTATAAACTCATAATGAAAAATTTAATACAACCTAAGGTAATAAAATCATTGTTCCAAGGAGCATCACAGTGAATCCCAGAGTTTTCAAAAAGTGTGAACACCACATCTGTATTGGGATTTACTATGACATGAATCCCGAAATACACATAAAGTTAATTGTGGGACATTGCTTTGTGGAAATTGGCTACTGTGTTTGCCCACAAAGTACAGTCATGTTTGCTTTACAGTATCCTATCAGCAACATGCTGCATGGTTGACAATGGCCTAAGAAAAGGAAAAAGCAGAGGAAATAAAAAACAAGATCTTTGGTTTGAGACAAATGTGCTGTCCCCGCAACAAAAAATTCATGATGAAATCTGAGTGAGACACGTGTACCAATCTACACTTTTATTCTAGATATAAATCCTACTGCACACCTGGTCTGAATCTTTTCCACCATTTCTTCAAGTTGCACTCTGTCATACGCACTCTGTACTTTGACAGGATATGGATTATTAGAGGCAATGTTTGGCTTTGCTAAAAACACTATTGCATTATTTTAACCAGAAAATCTTTTCCTGGTTGAATTAACGAAGTTAGAAATCAGTTAAATTCCAGCCACATATTTTCTTCCAACATTTGGCATCAAAATAAAAGTTATTTTTTAAAAAATTGGTGAACACAAAATCTTGCTTTAAAAAAAACAATTGCATTGCCAGTTGGATGTGAACAATAGTTGTTGGAAGCCTATGCTGATATTCTTGAATTTGATCCCTTGCTTGTTTACATTACATCATAGCATGCCTGTTCTATAAGTGCTCTGTGTGAAGAAATGAAGCTGCCACTATTGAGATTGTGACTTTCTTCCTCTAGTTTAAAAAAGAATCTCACACCAACAAAGAACATGTTAGTTACCTTTCCAGTCACAACTTGAATTTCGGAAGAATAATAAACATCAATTTATATCAGAAGTCAATCAAACAAGGAATAAATTAGAAGTGTTTAATATTCTTCGACACAATAACCTATCTAAATGCTATTGATTGCACCTATAACTAACATAAAGAGCGACACTATTAAGGTCTGCACACAGCTAAACTGAGCTACACCATTAAGGAAACAACAATTTCTTATTAAATACATTGGTGCAGGATGCACAACGAGTCATTACATTTTGGCACCTTTAGATGCATTTGAAACAAATCAACAAAAAGAGTTTTAATAAAGCCAGTGCATAGCTTTCTAACAAAAATAAAGTAAAATATAAATTAACAAGTGTATGTCATCTTACCTTATGCAATCAAATAATTTACACAACATGAAACACATAAGTTTTATACCCCAATTCAACAGTTAATGCTCTTTTTATCATTTCTGAAGTGTGAAAAATATTAAAATGTTCATCTACTAGAATATCAAAGTATATGTTTTTTTATATATGTAGAAAGAATTTTTCAAAGCACAAAATGATTTTTGGGTGATTCACTAACATCTAAATGGCCATGGAACATAGCTCAGTTGGACTTTGTTATTATATAAAGGCAGTGATTTTTTGTAAAATTTTGGTCCGCTCTAGATTCATTGTACTGGAACCATTGTAAACATACCAATCTTTGAAAAAAATGTGTGATCATCGTCTCCATTGCATATCCATAAAAACTATCACTCCCTACTTAAAAATACGAAATAGGTGCTTACTTTCACCTCATTTTAAAACTCCTTTCTCTTTTGTTTCCCCTTTCCCCCTCCCCACACCCAACCCATCCCAGCCCTCCACCCTTACCAAGATAGTACATTGTGTAATTTTGCCTCAGAGTTTGCCATAACTGGCGTGGCAAGTCGACAGTGAAAAACATCAGTCACAGGTAGACACTGGAAGAACATTTTCACCTGTCCCAAAAGACAATGCAGTATGGTCTTATTTAATGCTCTCTCATAGCTTTGCACTCTACTTTTGCCCAGTGCAAGCCCTCAGTCTTCTTTAAATCTGGGTCATCAGTCACTTAGTGAAAAACAGTCAGCAAACAATAAGACAGATAGCACAACTTATTCATGAGCAGTTTTTTTTGGCAAAAGGCAAAGCCTTCTGTGGCCGATCGTCTACTGCTGGTGCACATCCTCATGTCGTATAATTTTATACGTAATCCAGTAAAAGATGTTAAAAATGAGGAATGCTAGAGGGAAGGCAGCTCGGGCTATCATGTCAATCCTTTTTGCTCTATCGACAAATTTCTTTTTGATAGCCTCCGAATCCTTGAGTGGTGATGGAGGATTTGGAATGGGTGCTTTAACAGCTGTGCCATCCTTGACTTGAAGGCAGTGACCCATTCCATAGCCACTGAAGTTGAAGCGACTTTCCCGAACACAATCGTCATCCTGTTGGGAGGAAAAACATCATGAAAGAGGCAGAAGAGAAAGAGAAGGGATACATTTTTTTTCCCCCTGGATATAAAGTGATTGAGAGAGGAGATGATACAGGTGTTTAAAATTCTGAAAGGATTCAATAAGTTAGACATAAGTAGGATGTTTCCATGTGTTAGTGAGTCCATAACAAGAGGGCATAAATATAAGATAACCACTAGCAGATCAAAAAGAGAGTTTAAGAGAAATATCTTCAAGCAGAGGTTGGTGAGAATGTGGAACTTACTGCTGTGCTTGAAGCAGAAAGCATAAACATATTTAAGAAGAAACTTGGTGCATATATGTGGGAGAAGGGACAGAGTATGGAGTGAGGCTAGAGAGGGAGATTTGGATGGGTAGAGATTTGTGTGGAGTATAAACACCGGCATGGACTAGTACTGCCGAATAGCCAGTTTCTGTACTGTAGATTATAAATACTGAGGAAAGAATCATTGTGTGGTATCAGCTTAAAACACATCAGATTTCCACCAGCAGAGCAAATGGTATTCAACATAGCATCAGACTGGAATCTGCTGCAATCTTTTTAATAATCCTGTTTAGCGAAGACCTTAAGCAGCACAATCTGCTTCTAAACAAGTTCTAAGTAAGCAAATCGGGCATAGTTCAACCACTTGAAACCACTTGAAGGTCAGAGGCCATCGCAGTCCACCATCCCCATTTTACTTCATTACTGACTTGAAAACAATCCATTCCTAATGAACAATTAGAATTGATGAAATATCGGGCAACTAACAGGAAATGCAATCAATTCAGCATTTATTTTAAAACAAAAGGAGTGAATTCTTAGTTTAGTTCAGGGAAAAGTTGTCTTTCCTTATAATAATACTACATTCCAAAAACTGCCCAGTTGGACAATTATTGCTAATCCCTTTTGACTTTTCACTCCTTACCAATTTGCACAGCAGTGCAGTGTTTTCTAATCAACTGAAGCAAGCAATACTGTCACACCACAATTAGGCAGGCAGTACCATACTGCTTCTTCCAAATCAGTCCAGGACATCCATTTTTTTAGTGGGACGGTAATTGTTTTTTTGATGAAATAGACTTGTAAATTGACATATCTGTTAATAAAGAACTCGTAACTCCTTGGAGTGCATCGAAACTGAAAACACACTGCCCCTGTACTGCTGAGAATTATAACATAGGTTCCAATTTGGCTCCACAGCTTCATAACAGCAGGTGTTACATTGGGAATAGTCATTGCCATCTGGAGACTCTCATTTAAAATAAAAGTAATTTTATTTCCATCGATTTTTTTATGCTATTCAGGTCTATTGGAAGCAATGGTGCAAATGTAATACTGTTTTATTGATTCACATAACTTACATCATTATAAATATGGCTGGAACCTTTTAAGGTACTTTGGGGATTATGTTTGGCTTTCAAAAATTTTTACTGTAAAATAATTATCTTTTCAAAAGCTCAAACATGTTTTGGATCGTCTCACTTGGAAAACTTTCATGTCTTTATTGGAGAGAAATTCCACCCGGGAATAGGCTTTTGGGGAAAATGTCTGGTTGTGGGTAGCGCCTTTGGCGATTTTGAATTCTAATGAGAAACTCCACTAATAGCCAACATCACCAAAGGCAATGAAAGCAAGACATACTAAGTACTCAGTCACGACACTTTACTGTAAATCCTGTCAAGTGTGTTGAGATGTATATCTGACATGGAAGCCACTGTATCAAATCCAAGGATTATTTGGTCTCAATTTTTTCCTATTATACTTTCTCTTAGTATTTTGGACTATGCACATTTTGAACAAGTCTTAAATGCAGTTTTAATTTTGAAGATTTTTTATTTCTTTTAAGAACTACAAGTACTAAGAAATGCTAAGAAAAAAGTAATGCCTTGGCCCCACATAAGTCTATCTGTGATATTTAGTGACATCTGTCTGTTTCTAAAACAGATTAGATTTGGATACCAAACCAAATTCTGCTTCTGTCGAATAAACTCTGTAATCATTAATATATTGAACACAAACTCGCAGAAACATTGTGAATAGAAACTATGGCACAGGGCAGATGTAAGTGCATAATTAATTGTACAATAATACCCTTTCCTTTAACTCTTGGCATTTTCCCAAGTCCAAAAAGTATTTTATTTGAGTGATCTTCATTCTTCATTTCAGTTTGAAAATTTTATAATTGTTTTTTGCAAAGTGAAAAAAGCTGCTTTTCTGTTGACTAATACATAAAACTGTCTGATCTAGTTAAATCCATTATGGTAAATAGCAGTGTGAAGTCAGAACAACTCCCAAAACCTCCGCTGGGATCTTGATGCTGTTACCCTGTTTTCCCTGGACCTGAATCTGAAAGGATTTTGCATCTAATAAAGGGAATCTTTAAAATCTAATATTCAGAAATGACAATCTTGGCCAACACTGATAATATAATTGTTGAAACCTTACGATTGACTGCATAACTGATGTCTCCACATAAGCACCTATCTTGGAGTTTTTCAATTTGCAATTTAATGCTAATGGATTGTAAATAACAGCCATTGTCTGAGAAAGTAACTAAGAAAGTCTCATTCCCAAAGCTGTATTTATTTGAAATACAATGAATCTAACTAGAAAATAGGCTGCAGTGAAATAAACAGTCAGCTTGGAGTTCTTTCATCTAATTGCATTTGGATAGCTGAGAGAGAATTATAAAGGTAGAAAACAGTCACCAGAAACAAGTTGAGATTTATTATTATCTGAACTCAAGCACCCCTCAGATTGTGTTTCAAATGTAGCTTCTAATTTTATGTGATACCTCCAGTGTTGTAAATTAAAAAGAATTTCAATTTCAAAAGAGTTGTACCAGGGATGGCGGGATGCTGATACCAGAATAGACTGGCTAGGATGTCTTTTTTCGCAAAAGAGATGTTCACCCAATAGAGGTGTTGTTTAAAATTATAAAAGAGCTTGTCGGGTTGGTCTAAATAGGCTGTTCCCATTTGCTGGGGATTCTATAAGCAGGGAACACAAGTATAAGATAGTGACAACCTGAAATGGTGATTGAATCAGATAACATAGGAGGATTTAAGTCAGAGGAAGCTGGACTTTCACATGAGGAAGACGTAACGGAGGGATGTAAGGTATGGGATGGAGTAAGGAGTAAGTGGAGACCCAAATGGAGTATAATAATAATCCTTGCATTTGATATCATAATAATCCTCGCATTTGATATCGTGGCTTATCACGTCTTCGAGATGTCTCAAAGCGCTTCACAGAATATATTGTAAAAACAGTATATAGTATAAACCCTGGTATGACAGGTTTGACTGAATAGCCTGTTTCCATGCTCTACAATCTATGTAAATCTATGTATATCTCTACATATCTTTTGTAATTTCTAACTGGTGCAAATACTTTGCGCAGGTTATTATTTTGCATCTTGTTTCAGGAGCTGTGGAGGCTTTTAGGGCTTGCAAAACAGCAGCAGCATTTTTGTGTAGACTTTTCTACTGCCAGCATGTGAGCATTCTTATCACAGGTTGCTCCCATCTTGAGTTTTCAGATTTTTTTTTCGTGTGCAGAATACAAACACGCATGAAAATGGCTTTTAATAGTTTTAAGTAGTGCTGAAATATCTGCAAAGCTAGCAGCTAGGGGAACAGTACAAGGAGCCACAAGGGATTTTTATAATTCAAGGCCTGGAAACATAGGTAGTGATACCATAAACAATATGGTGATATGTACACATTAGTTTGCAAGATTGCATAACCGCTGTATACCGACATTAGTCATCTGGTATCCTGATGCTAAAAGTGGGATTATTTAAATGCTAATGAGTAGCACTTGGGGGAATGTCTGTTAAACAGCATTAAGAGTATAGCAGTGCTAATGATGGAAGAGCTGCCTTTGGCAGGAGTTTTGCAACATAAAGAAGGGAGGAGCCACCACCAGCTGCCGAGATACATCTACATTTCACTATAGGCATTTCAAAGGCAACAGCACCTGGTGAGCATTGTTTGGTAAGTGGTGTTCCCTGCTCTATCAGTACCTGGTAGCCACTTTGTTGCAGCAGTTGGATTGTGTTGAATAGTCATTTTCTGACTTGTTAGCTTCCTTCAAGGGCTCAAAACTGTTTATGAATGACTTATAAATCCTAATATTATAACTGCCAACTGAAACTTGATTTGCAAAAGTGTTGCATTTACACCTGTAAGTTTAAGGTAAGTTTAAGTTGATTTATGTAAAATTTCCCCCTTTTTTTTTTGCTGGGATTCCCTCTGGACCTTTCCCGGAAATCGGGTAGGAGCAAAAAAGGTTGCAAGTTAAGAAGAAGTGTACAAGTGACGTTCTATGTTCCCACTGTTACAAGCTTCAGAATCGACCCTGCAATGTAAGGAGAGAGGGGAGAAATTCCAACTGGGACTAGAGTAGACAAGATCTGAAGATAGGCAAGCAGGGGTCAAGGAAGAGGATTTAAACTAACTGCTGCCATAATGTTGCATTTCTATCATTAAATGTTAGATCATTGTCAACGGTGTTACCTAGATTGCATTCAGGACCTCTCCAACTACAAGAAATTATAAAGCCCACAGTACAAGGAGCCACATCAGAACTGCACAGATACCCTGAGTCTACTTGGCTCATTCTATTTGTAGAGTCTCTCAATAATAGCAGAATCACTGAGTTGGAACTCTGTGGTGGATGTATAATGAACCACTTCACAATATCCGCAGCATCTTTAATGCTGCTACAATCAATTATAAATGGTTCTGATAGCGTACACACAGAGAGAATTTCTACTGATCATGGAGTCAATAACAAGAGGGCATAAATTGAGGATTATCACCAGATGAAAATGGGGGAGGTTAGTAGGCTATTTTTTACACAGATGGTCATTGTATTTCCTTTGCTACAAAGGGCTGCTGATGTTGAATTTGTAACATTATTCCAAAAGAAATTGAATTGGGTAAATACTTGAAAAAAAACTTTAAAGGTTATTGGGAAAAAGCAG